AACAAAACATATACAAGTAGTATACGGTCTGTACACGTATCACAGAGTAAATACAGTTGCATTTATTTAAAGATTTTGCGATTACAATTTTAATGCTTCTGTAATTAAAAAACAAAATTCAAATTAGAATCGTAATGTTAATTATAAAATATAACATTGTACTTGTAGGATATTAATAATCAAACATTAGATAAAGGAACGAAACTACAATGTACATTCAATAGGTATGCCTAATAATACGATATGATTGAACAATGAAAAATCGGTTAACCTAGAAAATCGTATCGCTAATATTGACGAAGAACGTGAAATGTAAGAATGATTATCAATAGGTTTGTCTATCGAACACAGAATGACTTAAAAAAAAAATCAGCTGCATTAATTTGCATCATATTAGATTAATGCACGTCGATGTGCATTGCGTATGTGTACTTTTAAATAATAGTATGTAATGCTATCACGTTGGACAGACGTATCTGACACCACGTGCGCGTGTTGTTTAAATTTAAATATTCTTCACCGACTATACACACACGGTTCTCTATATTTTCTTTTAGTCGTAAAATATATTCAATCGAAAATATAAAGCATTTCTTTTCCTAAAGATTCAATGAAAGACTCGATCTCGCAAATTAAACGTCTAAAGTATAGTGTGCACATATTCGACTAGATACGTATTCAATGTAGACGTACGAATACGTAGTGATAATTTGAACAATAATGATTGTTCGAAAGTATGGTGAAATCATAATCTGTCATCGGGTCAATATTCGAATCGGGATTTATTGCTAATCGTACTTTTTATTAAATGTAGCGTGTAAACCATAAACAGGTTGATCGTCGATAAAAGTTTTATTTCCGTATTCATGAAATTCCTACGATGTTGTAGTTGATTCATTCGAGAAATCAAATCGAAACTGAGGATCAACGTATAAATCATGCTTGTGTGTATGCACTGGAATGATAGATCAGTAGACTGCGGATGTCCTAGCAAACTTATAGACTACTTGTTAGCGATTCTAAGAGAGGATTGTATCGCATTCCGTTAACATTGTTTATTTATTGAATTCTTTTAGATTTCTATCGGCTATGAATATGCATATAAAGATCCGCAGTCTATAAACAAGATTCATTTTATTAACATAAGAAACGTAACTATATATAAAGTATCGAACTTATACGAACGAATAATCATTCTATAAATAAACATTATAACATACATATCCACAGAGTGTGCAAATTATTAAACTTAATGCAACCTTTCCAAGATTCCTCGTTAAATGTATGAACAATTTTTAATCGAGTGGATCGAATCATCGTTTCTTTCGTTTTATTTCTTTTTCACAAACGGTTGCGTTTTTCACAAGTTCTATTGTTATTTCAGTCACTTGAGCATATATTGTCATATGTATTTCCCGTTGTAGAACAGACGACGAATTCGTATCAAGTGTATCAATTAACACGGAAACGTTCACAGTCGGTGTATAACAATTTGCACACCGCTGTTCGACTCTATCTTCAAACAAATTCAAGTTCAGAGGCGACATTTTACGGCGGTTATTGCAATTCAAAAATAATTGCAAGTAATTCTAATTAAGTTCGATTACAAAGACCGTAATATAAAAATATATGTATAAAGATCGATACACTCGCCGCGTATACGAGTCCTTTACGAAACGGATAAAAGTATCACAGTGGCATTAGCATGAAAATTTCGCGCGATGCTCGAAACAATATTCACGGAATAATTATCTATCGAATAAATTCATAATGTTGAATGAATCTATCGAGACGATGGTAAAATATGTTCGTCACGTTTTCGACGTAATCGTCTGTGATCACAATCATTTCTTGTTTCGCTAATGCAAGGTGTAATTGTCGCCGTGAAATGTGTGTGTGTGTGTGTGTGTGTGTGTACACAGGAACGCGCTTAAGTTTCAAGTGAACATCGTTTAAAAAATACATTGGACTAAGGAATTTTTGAGTGTGCACGAAAGAAATCTAAAATCAAGGATATTTTAAGGTCATTGCAGTTTCTTCAACCCTGATATCTTGTAATAACTGGTACCTTCGGATTCTGATTTATCGTACAAGACCGTGTTTTCTTTCATATAATTCGCGAGAACTGATCTCGAACGAAGAATTCTCGATTTAATATAGACGTCGATTAACAGCAGTATTTATCGATGTTCTTCACGGATACGATTCGAAAGCTGAGATTTCTCAGCTTTGGAAGAGCCGGGTAAATTTTACTCATTTCGTAGAAGTTGCGATCCTAATGTCGACTCGAATTGATTTAAATAGTCCGTAAAATGTTAAATCACACGTAGCAAATTTGTCTCTATATTGTCTTACTTTATTGAGTGACTTAAACAGGAAAATAACAATAATTCGTCTATTGTCTGAACACCGTTTGACGATTATTTAATAATATCGTAAACATTTTCTCACTCGTATATGGAACCGTTGTTCCTAGATTAGCGTTCGAAAGCGCGAACGAAAATGTGCAAGTTAAATCAATAAATAATACATTGAAAGACCTATTAGGATGACCTTTAAATGTCCTTGACGTCTTCACCTACGATTTATTATAATTCTTGCCTCTACGTTATGCCGCGCGCGCTGCTCTATTCGAACGTCAACGATTTTTTTGTCCCAGAAATAAGA